ATACACACATATATATATATATACATATATATACACACATATATATATCCTATATAATAAAAGGCTAATATGCAAATTGACCCTAATGGCAAAACGACTAGAATGACCACTCAACCAGTCACTATGAGGCACACTGACCACCTCTCAGTTTCTTTCCCCAGTCAGCAGGCTCCAATTGCCTGATGGCGAATGGGGAACTGGGGGTGGGTGGTTGGGGATGCAGGCGGCGCCAGGCCAAAGCCCCCACCCTGCCGGTTTCCCTACATACAGAGGGCCACCCATGGCAGGAGCGGGGTCAGCAAGTGGGCGGGAATGGCCGACCTCAGGCTCTGATCATCCGATGGTGAATGGGGAACTGGGGGTAGGTGGTGGCAGGGGGCGGGGCTGGCTGCAGGCAGCCGGGGAAGATGACCCTGATGGCAGGCCAGGCCTAGGGACCATACTTGCACATGAATTTCATGTGCTGGGCCTCTAGTATATATATTTTCCTATATTAGGTGCATGTACCATGGTTATATCCTCTTGTTGGATCAACCCCTTTAGTACTGTGTACTGACCTTCATTGTCTCTTGTTATGACCTTCATTTTGAAGTCTATTTTGTCAGATATGAGTATTGCTTCTCCAGCTTTTTTTCATTTCCATTTGCATGGAAAAAAAAAATTTTCATCCTTTAATTTTCAGTGTGTGTAAATTTTTTGTCTTGATGTGTGTTCTTGTAGACAGCATATATATGGGTCATGTTTTCTTATTGATTCAGCTACCCTATGTCTTTTGATTGGAACATTTAATCCATTTACATTTAAGGATGTTATTTATAGGTACATAATTATTGCCATTTTTATTCCTTATGCCTATGTTTCTCTCTCTATTTCTTATTATTACACTTCCTACCAGACTCAATTCTGTCTCCTCCTTATGGTCTTGGTTATAAGGGTTCTCACCAGCTAGTCGTCAGTTGGTTATTCCAGATGACTTTTCTATAGTCTAGTTGTAATTCCAGTTTGGTCCTGGAAGAATGTCAGTGCAGCTTTTACTTAATCTACTGCAACGTTCTTTCTGTGATCATTCCAACTTTGTTCTTATTCTGAAGATTTCTGTGGCTGTTCAGGGTTATTTTTGGTTCCATATAAATTTTTGAAGTATTCATTCTAGATCTGTGAAATATACCATTGATATTTTATAGGGGTTGCATTGAATCGATAGATTAGTTTGGGTAGTATGGATTCTTCTGATCCATGAACATGGTATATGCTTCCACTTGTTTGTATCTTCCTCTTTCAATGTATCTTTCAATGTCCTGTAGTTTTCTGAGTACAGGTCTCTTACCTCCTTGGGTGAGATACCGCCCTACCCAGTTTGGCTCAGTGGATAGCGCATCAGCCTATGGACCAAAGGGTCCCAGGTTCCATTTCAGTCAAGGGCACGTACCTCAGTTGCAGGATCCTCCCCAGCTTGTGCAGGAGGCAGTCAATCAATGTGTTTTTCTCACATGGATATTTCTCTCTGTCTTTCCCTCTCTCTTCCACGCTCTCTAAAAATCAATGGAAAAATATCCTCTGGTGAGGATAAAAAAAATAAAATACTTAGGAATAAACTTAACCAAGGAAGTAAAAGACCAATACCTGGAAAACTACAGGATCTTGAAAAAAGAGAGAGAAAAACATAAACAAGTGAAAGAATATACACTGCTCATGGATTGGTAGAATTAACATCATCAAAATATCCATACTACCCAAGGCAATCTATAGATTTAATGCAATCCCTACTAAAATACCAACAGTATATTTCATATATCTAGAACACAAACTCCTACTATTTATATGGAACCAAAAAGAACCCAAATAGCTGAAGCAATCTATAGAAAGAAGAACAATGTTGGAGGAATCATAATACCAAATATCCAGTTATACTACAAAGCAACTATAATCAAAACAGACTCGTACTGGCACAAGAACAGGCATATAAATCAATGGAACAGAACAGAGAACCCAGAAATCGATCTAAGCCATTATACTCAATAAATATTTGACAAAGGAGGCAGTAGAAGGTGTGCCTATATATGGAACCAAAAAGAACCCAAATAGCTGAAGCAATCTATAGAAAGAAGAACAATGTTGGAGGAATCATAATACCAGATATCCAGTTATACTACAAAGCAACTATAATCAAAACAGACTCGTACTGGCACAAGAACAGGCATATAAATCAATGGAACAGAACAGAGAACCCAGAAATCGATCTAAGCCATTATACTCAATAAATATTTGACAAAGGAGGCAAGAGCATACAATTGAGTCAAGAGAGTCTTTTCAATAAATGGTGTTGGGAAAATTGGACAGATAAATGCAAAAAGTGAAACTAGACCACCAACTTACACATACACAAGAGTAAACTCAAAATGGATAAAAGACTTAAATGTAAGATATGAAACCTAAAAGTCCTAAAGAAACTATAGGCACCAAAATCTCAGACATCTCTCATAGCAATATGTTTGTCAATACATCTCCTAGGACAATGGAAACTAAAGGGAAAATAAACAAATGGAACTACATCAAAATAAAAAGCTTCTGCACAGCAAAAGAAACCATCAACAAAATAACAAGAGAGCCCACTCACTGTATGGGAGAACGTATTTGCCAATGATACATCCATTAAAATGTTAATCTCCAAAATATATAGGGAACTCATACAACTTAAAAAAAGGAAGACAAACAATCCAATTTAAAAATGGGCAAAGACCTAAATAGACACTTCTCCAAAGTGGACATGCAGAAAGCCAAGAGACATGAAAAAATGCTCAAAGTCACTAATCATCCAAGAGATGCAAATCAAAATGTCAATGACATATCACCTCTCACCTGGCAGAATGGCTATCATCAACAAATCATCAAACGATAAGTGTTGGTGATGTTGTGGAGAAAAGGGAACACTTGTACACTGCTGGTAGGAATGCAGACTGGTACAGCCACTGTGGAAAACAGTATGGAGTTTCCTAAAAAAGCTAAAAATAGAACT